AAGATTGAAGGCAGAAGGAGAAGGGGACAACAGAGCATGAGCTGACTGGATGGCATCACTGACTCAGTGGACATGAGTTTGAGTAAACTCGGGAAGATGGGGAAGGACAGGGAAGTCTGGTGAGCTGCAGTCCAGAGGGTCGAAAAGAGTCAGACATGACTTGGTGACTGAACAAGAGATAAATCAAGTTTCCACAAAATGAACGCATAATAAGATCATGAGAAGAGTGTTCAAATTCAAATCAGCAGGAAGAGATAAGGATTAGGAGTGTGGGAGAACTTAGATAACTTCAGGAATCTAAAAGGATGGATAGTACTAAGAAGTTGAAAGTGCAAAGGTGGAACAAGGGTTGCAGTTATGTCCAAATGTACATCTGCAGTGCAAAGAACACATTCAGGTGGTTGTGAATAGTACGAGAGCTCAGGATAAATTGGGGTTAGTCATACAAACTTGAGAGTTATCTTCAGAGTGAGGTACTCTATTGGGGAACAACGATGACAACAAATTCCAAGGGCTGTATTGGCACCAGGGCAAAGATAAGTAGTGAAGAATGGTAGTAGGAAAGCAAGATGCTGGCCGAAAAGCCAAGCGAAGCCTGACTTTAAGGACTGGACAACAGTGTCAACCACAGCACAGAGTCCCTACTTTCTCTCAGAAAACTTTGGCACTCTATAACTTAATACATTTGTAGACTACATTGTTATAGACTGTATGAAATTCGCCTCTGTTCTCTGCTTTGCTAGGGTAATACCCATACCAGGCCTAGCCCTGGAAAACGCATCTCTGATAAAAGCCCCCAAATGGGTCCGGGACTTGCCTAATCAGTGCACCTTGCAATTCGGGGAGGTACAAATCCAACCTGAACTCTGGAAATGATAAAGTCTTTCCCAAGTCATTTAATTTTGTTAACAAATATGCCTTCCCAATTTGTTTCTCAAACAATTTGATATTTGTTCAAAGCTTCAAAAAAGCAGCAGCACTGATTACATATGCTGATTTTCTTTATATCTGCCAAGTCTCTTTGTGAGCTAGTTAGAGTCACAGGGACAACTAATTCCAAGGTACAAAAATAAACAAGTTAATAATTTTTTTAAAAAAACACACGGCGGGAAGGAAAGCAACTCTTCTATTTTTTTTTCAAATACTGAACAACAGGTCCGCCTCGTGCATTCATGCTGTCCTTTCAGTCGTGTCGGACTTTTTGCCACCCTGTGGCCCATAAGCCCACCAGGCTCCTCTGCCCATGAGATTCTCCAGGCAAGAATACTGAAGCAGATTGCCATGCCCACCTGCAGGGGATCTTCCAGACCCAGGGATCAAACCCACATCTCTTATGTCTTCCTGCACTGGCAGGAGGGTTCTTTACCACTAGCGGCACACGGGAAGCCCCCCAGGCCCATGGATACCGTGTCAAAACAAGACACATTGCTCTAAAGCTGTGCGTGCTAAGTCTCTTTAGTCGTGTCCGACTCTTCGGACCCTATGGACTGTAGCCAGCCAGGCTCCTCTGTCCATGGGATTCTCCAGGCAAGAATATTGTAGTGGGTTGCCATTTCCTCCTCCAGGAGTTCTTCCCCATCCAGGGATCGAACCCGTGGTCTCTTATGTCTCCTGGAAAGACAGGTGGCTTTCTGACCACTAGAGCCACCTAGGAAGCCCCCTCTAAAGCCGTGACTATCCTTAAATCAAAAAACCAGTCCCATCCGGGGGAGTCGGGTCTGAGCGCTGCGTCTCCAAAGGCGACGCGAAACTTCAAGGCCAGACAGTCCCCACTCCCGACCTTTTTCATCCGGGCAACCGGGCAACCGCAAGTGACGAGGCTGTCCTTAGCCGCTCGCATACTCACCTCAACATGAGTCTGCACAACCCCTGCTGCCCCATTGCCAAAACACCGGAGCCTAAAGCAGCACTGACTGAGCACACCACTCTGCGTGGCTCCTCACGTCAGACCCACCTACTGCCGCCAGAAGCCTCCGGAAACAGATGGCAAGTCCTCCAGAGGGCTAGAGAGGCCCACAGCAGGCCCTTTCCGCTGCGCCGCGCTGAGGGGCAGGGCGAGAGCCACTGCTGAGGAAATGGGCCGAGAGACACAGCAGGTGGGCCGGGGCGGGCCGGGCCGGGGCGACGAGGAGCCTGGCCGGGGCGGGGCCGGGGGCGGGGCCGGGCACCGCCTATAAGAAGGGACGCGCGCCAGCCCTGGCCACCCGCCTGCGCGCCCTCTGCGGACCGCGGTATGATGGCCCCCAACCGCCTGCTCGCGCTGCTGCTGCTCCTCGTGGGCGTCCCCGCCGCTGCCGCCGAGTCGGTAGGTGCTTGGAGATCCCCGAGGTGGGCTGGGGGACGGGAGGGCGGACCGGTATCTTCTTTGTTCTGGGATCCTGCGGTGGGGTCCAGGGGCGGGCAATCGGGGTAGTGCGCCGTCCCCAACTGGACCAGGGAAACATTTTTGGAAACTTTGCCCTGGGGTCCCAGGGAGGCTCCGGGGCGAGGAGGGGTGGGTGACCCCTCTGCGCACAGTGCGCCCCCAGCCTGTTGAGCTTCTCGCCTCCCCCTGGCCTCAGCCCCGCCGCGGGCTTCAGGCTCGGACGTGACTAAGTTGGTGTCACCTCGCCTCCCCTCACCCTCTCGCCCCTTCCCCGGTGATCTCAGGGCAGGCTCGCGCCCTGACCCCCCTCCGCGCCCTCCAGAATCCGAGATGGCCTCGACATGAAGGGGGGCTGCGTGTACTCGGAAGGGGGAAGGGTGCAGGGTTCTGAGGGGCCTTGTTTCACGCACCGGGGTAGAGGACTGAGCCCTGACCTCAGGTTTGGCCTCAGCCCTGCCACTGGCCTGTGACTTTGGGCAAGGTCCTGCCCTCTTCTGAGTCCCAAAGCGTCTGGAGGACTAGGATGGGAGGTGAGCAGTGCTTCTATAGGGTCCGTACAAAGTTGGGACTCTGATCTTTCCGGGGCAGACTGGAGGGACTGTGTAGGCTCCTAACTTTGCCAGGAGTTGAGCCTCTGCTTTCCGCCAGAAGCGCGTTTATTTCCACCGATCTGACCGCTGGGGAAACCCAAAGCACTCACCTTTGGGTGGGGTGAAGGGGGACTGGGGGAAGAGGTCTCCGTGAGCCTCGAGTAACCTCCTCACTGGTCCTTTAC